TCTTAAGCTGCTTCGGACAAGTCCTAAGACCAGCTACAGGAAGCAATCTTGGGGGTTCCTGGTTTGGTGAAGTACTCTTTATGACACAGCAGAGGGTCCAAAGAAGTGCATGGGGTTTTAATAGGTCAGTCCTTCTCATTGTTGAGACTTTTTGACATCTGCATCTGGGGGATGGAGTGGAAATTCTCCACCTTTTGTTTTTGTTTTTTTTTTTAACATGTGTTTTATATAGTTAGATTTTGAGACCAGATATCACTAGTTCAGGCCAGCTTCATTTTACAGACCTGCCTCATTGCTCCCAAGTTCTGAAAGCAGAGGCATATCCAGTTCTCTTCTGGGTTTTTTGTTTGTTTTGTCACAATTGTGTATGAAGACGGAGGGCAGGAGTAGGAGCCTCTTCAAGAAAAAAATTGAATAAATGTAAAAGTTTAAAAACATTTAAATCAGCCTGGCAGTGGTGGCGTATACCTTTAATCCCAGTGTTGGGAGGCAGAGGCAGGCAGATTTCTGAGTTTGAGGCCAGCCTGGTCTACAGATTGAGTTCCAGGACAGCCAGAGATACAGAAAATCCCTGTCTTGAACAGCAACAACAAAACCCTTTAAATCATTAGGAGTTTTAGAACAACTATATGAGGCCTAAAATACCTAAAATAACATCTTTATTTCCCTCTTAAGATAGGGTCTTCAGAACTCTGTAGCTCAGGCTGGCCTGGTTCTCACTGATAGACTAGGCTAGTTTTGAACGCCCCTTTGCCCTGCCTTCCTAGGGCTAGGATTATAGTGTGCATGACCCAGTCTGGAAAATTTAGTCTTCTAGGTCAGTGGTTCTCAACCTGGGGATCAGCTATGAAGTAGCAATGAAAATAATTTTATGGTTGGGGTCACCACATCAAGGGGAACTGTATTAAAGGGTGTAACTACTAGTTTCAAGTTAATTCAGATGCTACTGCAGAATCACAATTACATAGCACTTCATGATTTGAAAGTTGAAGGTTATTTAAGCATCATGGATCTGTAAAAGAGATGCCCTTATTTTCTAAAGAAAGCACAGGCAATCAGAAATAGCCCTTGATCAAGGTCATGCAGGCAGAAGATTAAGGAGGCAGCAGTCTCTTGGCTTCATGATGCAATGCTCTGCTTGTTACCATAAGAAAGGTTGACTCTGGAAAACTGTTCTCCCAGTACAAATATGAAGCTTAGAAACAGCCCTGTAGTATTTAGTGTAACAACAGTACAGATATGGATGGAGCTTAGAAACGGCCCTGTATTAGTGTAACAACAGTGCAGATACGGATGGAGCTTAGAAACGGCCCTGCAGTGTTTAGTGTAACAACAGTGCAGATACGGATGGAGCTTAGAAACAGCCTGCAGTGTTAGGGTTAAACGAATGAGCTTTGAAAGGTGAGCACCTCACATGGGAGGTCAGCTGAGGCTGGGGTGAGAGTGCTGGTGGCGGTGTTTGATGGAATCATGCAAGGGGCGGGTGGCTCCCCACCACCACCTTTGCAGCTGGGCTTGAGCCGAGGCCTTCACGATAGAAGCTGTCTAAACCCGAACCCTACCTCAGTGCTAAAGCATGGCAGCGTGAAGGCTCCTGCTGTCCAAGGATGGCCAGAGACATTTTCTAGACCGGGAAATAGCTCTATAACAGTTACTCCGCCCTCAGCTCTGTTTGAGATGCGGACTATAGCTCTGTCTGTTCTGGAGCTCTCCATAGACCAGGCTGGCCCCAAACTCAGATTCTCCTGCCTCTGCCTGTTTGCTGGGATTAAAGGTGTGTGCCACCCCTGGTTTATGGGTAAGGTTTTAAGGCTGGAAGACGTGGGTTGAATCAGTGCAAGTGAGCTTTCTCTGAGAGGGGGCCTGAGGGGACTGCAAGCTTAAAGGCTGCGGGACGAGACCGGAAGTGAACGGAGACGAGTCGGCTCGGGAGGGAAACGCGCTCCTTTGTGACTGAGCAGACTGGGGAGACCGAGAGACCAAGGTCAGGCGTAGTTCTCGTCGTATGACGCCTGAGGAGATCTGAGAACTGTGTGAAACAAACTGGTCATGCTAGTAGGTAGAGGGTTATTTTCAGTTTTGATTAAAGATTTAAATGCACAGGGTTACAAAACCCCAGAATGTCAAATGCAAAAATGTCAGCGTTTTCACACACAGATCTTATTTGGAACATATTCGCTAGTCTATAGTGTTATGTTGTACTCTTTTTTTTTTTAAGATTTTATTTATTTACTATACATATAGTATTCTGCCTGCATGTATGTTTGCAGGCCCAAAGAGGGCACCAGGTCTCATTATAGATGGTTGTGAGCCACCATGTGGCTGCTGGGAATTGAACTCAGGACCTTTGGAAGAGCAGTCAGTGCTCTTAACCTCTGAGCCATCTCTCCAGCCCTACTAAGATTTTTGTCTGTCTGTCTATCGATCTGAGACAGTGTTCTTACTTTGTTACTCTGGCTAGCCTAGAACTCACTGTGCATACCAGGTTGGTCTTGAATTCACAGAGATTACCTGCTACCACTTCCTGGGTGCAGGGACTAAATGTGCCGCTATACCTGGCTGTACTTCAATATTTAAAACTGGCTACCTGCCAGGGGGTAGTGGTTCACACCTGTAATCCCAGCACTTGAGGCAGCGGACAGGCACAGGTGGATCTTTGTGAGTGCTCTACAAAGCAAGTTCCAGGATAGACTCCAACGCTACTGAGAAACCCTGTCTCAGAAAACCAAAAACACTAGCCAGCCAAACAAACAAACAAACAAAAAACTCAAGCAAGTTACCCAATAAGTAAAATAGGATAAAGTGAAAAGAGTAGAGTTTGTAGAGAAAAGGATTCAAATTGTTTTTCTTTGGTTAAGGTCATTCTGGGGGTTGTAGCCTAGGCTACTCAGTGAAATTATCTCAGAAGCGGTTAGGCGTTCTGTTTATTGTACTTCTCTCTTTCAGATATGATGTTTTACCCGTTACTGATGAGTGAACCCAGGACTTTGCACATGCTAGGCAAACACTCTACCGCTGAGGTATACCCTCAATACTCTCAAATTGATCTATAAGAGTAGAGTTAGAAAGAAATCTATTTCCCTACTTCTAGATGTTTTGTGTAGCATGGTGACATGCTCCTTTGGTATTGTAAGACTGCCCCTGGCGAGTAAGGACTTAGTCCTTGAGACTGTAGGGCCCTTGAAATGTTTGTTAGTGCAACCTGGTGTCATAATTGTTTGGAAAGGTTAGGATGTTGATACCTCTCGTGTTTGTGACTTTACAGCTAATGTGCCCAGTTCTCTTAGAACCTTCCTATCCTCATTTCCTTAGAACTGTGGGTTATAGTAATCTGACAATCTCTCTGCCCTTCCAGGTAGTTCTGCTTCTACAAAAGAGGCTTAGAAGTACCAAGACTGCTCCCTGGTTGATACTATTTTAGGCATCAGAAATATAGGGAAGTGGCTCATAATTCTGGCTGCTAGCATCATTTGGGAGGCTTTTATACAATTCATATGGTCTGGACCCTTTGCAGATACTCTCAGATACTGACGTGTAGTGGGGCCAGTAGTTCTCTTTTAAAAGTCAGGGGGCATACACCTTTTAATCCCAGCACTTGGGAGCCAGAGGCAGGCGGATTTGTGAGTTCCAGGCCAGCCTGATCTACAAAGTGAATTCCAGCATAGCCAGGGCTGATACATAACAAAACCTTGTCTTGGAAAAAAAAAAAAAAAAGCCGGGCGTTGGTGGCGCACGCCTTTAATCCCAGCACTCGGGAGGCAGAGGCAGGCGGGTCTCTGTGAGTTCGAGGCCAGCCTGGTCTACAAGAGCTAGTTCCAGGACAGCCTCCAAAGCCACAGAGAAACCCTGTCTCGAAAAACCAAAAAAAAAAAAAAACCAAAAAAAAAAAAAACAAAAAACAAAACAAAAACAAAAAAAGAAAAGTCAGGGGGGTTTTCTTTAGAAATCCCTAAGGAGATGGGTGTGCAGCCTGCACTGAGATACACTGAAGAAGGGTTCTGCATCCCCCTGTGGTCTCCTCTCTGTTGGCTAAAAGAATGTGGAATCCCTCTCCTGGGGGGGAAGGATTTAACTGAAGATCTCAAGCATTCATTCAGCGTGAGAAATACCTTCTACAGACAGTGGGCTCTTTCTGCTAAACCACAGATGATTTTGATTGACTTCTGGTCTATCATTCTTTGGGGTACTGGTTGCCAGCCTTTTTAAACCTGTTTTGTGCTTTTGGTGCCCATTTGGTAACTGTGTAACCCATTTGAAGTTAAGTGTTTTGAAATAAATAGAAGGAAATGCATACCATTACACATGTAAGTTGCATTCAACTGGGCTATCAGAATTTCAAAGTGTGTATAATAATGTATCATTTATTGTAATAGTGGGGACATAGTCATGACCTTAATTTTAAAGCAGAAATAAATGGAAACAGTAAGAAAAAATGCCAGGGGCTAGGATTGTGGCTCTGTTGGTAGAGCGCTTGCCTAGTGTACACAGAACCCCAGTTCTGTCTCCAGCACCCCATAAACTGGGTATGGTCCTGCATGACTGTCATCCCAGCACTCAGGAGGTAGAGGCAGCAGACTCAGATGCAAGGTTAAGGCTGGATCAAGGCCAGCTTTGGGTACATGAAACCACCTCAAACTCACCATCACTGACAGAACTATAATGCATTATGAAGCAGCTAGTTTGTATTGAAGACAAAGTTCCAGTTACTGATAACGTTGTAATGGTTTATTGCCAGCAGTCACAAAAAGGACTGAAATTTCAGTTTATGAAAACATACATATTTTTAATACAAAGTATGTTTCATTATGATGTTTTCATGCATGGATAGAATATACGTTTATTCAACCCCTCTAGTCCTTATGTAGCTCTTTTGGCTAAAACTCACAGCGGGATGATCTTTTATTTGGCATTAACTGAATAATACATTCTCTGCAGGGAACCAGTAGAAGACTAGATGGCCTTTTCAACATGAAACTAACAAGAGTGGTTTGTTGTTGCAGGAATATAAGCGCAAGTTAGCCAGAGTTTCCCTGGTTCGCAAAGAACTCAGAGCCCGGATCCAGAGCCTGCCAGACTTATCTCGATTGCCCAATGTCACTGGCAGTCACATGCACCTGCCCTTTGCTGGGGACATCTACAGTGAAGATTGACGGCCAGTCTCCTCCAAGGCCAGGACTTTGCCAGACATGGAGACAGGTTAGGTGAATATCCTGTAGAGTTATTTTTGTACATTGTTGAGAGAACGGTACTAACTCAAGAAGTAACAAGGAATTATAAAATGGTTTAAATGTTGCTTTGTTTACTATTTTATTAGTGAGTTAACATGATAGTTAAAACAAGTGATTTCTGTGTATTAATGAGCTTAAAATTGTGATTATTTTCAAAAGATCTTTTTGTAAGTTTTGTGTTTCGATCCAAGGCCATGTGAAAATTCCATGTTTCTATTCATGTATTTTCAATTGTTTTTCTTATTTTTTTCAGTTATCTAATCACTGTACACTATCTAATTCCTAATGAGAAGAACCGATCAAGAGCTGATGTGAAACTGTATTATGGTATCGTTAGGACTTGATTATAGCAGAGACTTAAATGTTGCAACCTCACCATTACCGTTCTTACCACCCAAACATTGGCTCTGTGTGTCCTCATGCCTTTGAGTTTTTCATTCCCTAGAGGTCAGTAACTTAACAATAGACACGGACGCCATGTGGAGGGTCAAATTAAAACCTATAGAGCGTTTCCCTGTAGCACTACAGTAATTCCATCCCAAATGCCAATTCAGAAGAAAAGTCCTGTTAAGTAGACTCCCTTGATTACCCTGTAGAACTAAGTGCATCTACTGCCTTGAGAATGTTGTAAGTTTGACACCCTACCCAGAGGCCGAGTACAGCTGACTGCTTCTGTCAGGCCAGGCATCCTATATCATTGGTTCCTTTAACAAACACCAGCCGTGGGGAGTAAAGGGAACGGCAGACAGTGACAAGCTTATTCCCTTGTGCATATAACATAAAATAGCACTTGGCTTGAGTAGCTCAAGAACTCAGTATACATAATGTTCAGTTAAGTAGCCTGGAACATTTTATTTCCTCAAAGTTTTTGAATAACTATATATTTGGGAATTAAGCAATGCTATACTACAGGGTAGATCTGGTGAATTTTATACTTGTATGTTTACAGATGTAAATACAAATCAAATGTCCCTTTACTCGATCCTGGTGTATTAGAGCAATGCATGCTCTGTCCAGCACCCTTTTAAGTTACAGTGTGAACCTGCAGGTTTGTATTTGATAGTGACGGGGTTATTTTTTCTCCTTCATTGCTTTGCAATTCTCATTGTAATCGAAATCAACTAGTTAGTTAATAGAACACCTTTGCAATTTCACAGGCCAATTATATATCGCTACTTTGAATGGCTATTCTGTTTCTTTCTCAGTATTAGAAATTACAGTTGAAATGAGTTATATGTGAAAGAATGGCAGGTGATTTATCTTTAATAACAGTAGATTGGGAAACAGTGCTCCTAACAATCTGACCTCTCCAAAACAGTTCCATGTATAGCATCATCCGCCCCTGCATGTGCTGTCTCCCAGGGCTTTAGACAGCTTTTGGGAGTTAGGACACATTTCCTCAGAGAACCATAGCAGGTTTTCTGTGTACCGCTGAAGCTCAGCTGCGGGCCGAAACCACAGATGTACTTAACTAGTACTGTGGCTGAGGAGTGGCTCGTGGCACATCTGAGCAGCATTTGTCTGTCACAGGAAGGGGTCTGAGCAGCAGCCAGACCCTCCCCTGACAGTGGGGTGTCTGCCAGGACTGCTGTCTTCTCCCTAGGTGTAGGGATGGAGGCAAGGACTCAGCCAAGGCGGGTGGACAGATGCACACTATACACCCTGCTTGTGCCTGTTTTCAGAGTATGCCAAGTAAGTTAGTTTTTGTTGTTGTTGTTTTGAAAGCAAACGTTTTGTGTGTTAACTTATTTTCAGTATCTTGAACTTATTTATGATTGCTGACATGGTGATTTATCCATCTAAAATAGATACTTTTTTCCCATTTAAAGCTAATTTATAAATGGTGTACTCTTGGGAAGATATAAAATCTTTTAGAAGTTTGCTGAAATATTTTCACCATGAAGACAGACTTAGATACTCTTTTGATGCCAGTATCTGATCTAAATATTTATGATAAAATGTGTTATTTTTTTAAGGAACTTGATGCGATCTGTGATAAATGCTAGTACTCAAAATCCAAATTCCCCAAACCTCAGTTGTTAGTTACCTCACTAACTGAATACAAACTACAGTCTGTTCTAGAAGTAAGTCTTCCAGCCTTACAGTAGTTAACATGGTAAGCCTTAGGAGATAGTCTAAGTGGGGTGTGGTGGTGCACGCCTCTATCTCAGTACTTAGGAGGCAGAAATAGGATCTCTGTGAATTTGAGGCCAGCCTGTTCTCCAGAGTTTTATGGAGTGAGATTCATGCTGTTAGTTTCATGGTGAGACCCTGCTTTAAAAGAGAAAAAAGAAACTGGCTTAGGTGAGGGTTATAAAATACCGAACTCTAAATCATGCACATTTTCTCAACTATGTAACTGAGGCAAATTATGAGTGCGAGAGCAACCTGTTGTGGCCCTCAGGGGAAAGTGCGTCACATTTTCAGCAAGGTTCTGTGCTGTGAATGGACACCATTCCTCTTTTCTCCACAAACAGTGCAGAGAGCTGTCTGCAGTGGCAATTTGAACAGATTTCCCGGTACCCTCCCTCTCTGCTCCTGCTACGCTACAGTAAGTAAAAGAAACACGGGGAGCTGTGCTCTGCGGCCAGCCTTCCCTGAGGAAAACCACCTCTGCAGCTGTGAGACAGCTCTCCACAGCACTCTGAGTCAGGGCTTGTCCATAAGAAATCCCTTAAAGTCAACAAAAGCTAGGATGATCCAGCCATCACGATTTTCAGAGTTTAAAGAATGTTTTCTGTCACTGTCTGAGCAGTGTCACCACCGTGTGTGTTCATGTTTGACTGGTCCGAGAAGTCTGGAGAGGAGGACAATTTCTGGGAAGCAGGAGGCCTTCCTGAATTCCCACCCTGGTCGACCACAAAGATCTGCTTTACTGGCCGGTTACTCCTGAAGATGAGCCGTGCTTCCCAGGTGTGCTCTCCAGAGCTGTTAGCAGTGTGAATCCAGCTCTGTGTACAGAAAGGGAGCCCTGTGTCTCTTAGTGGATTTGTGTGCACAGAGCTCTTGTTGCCACCCACAGTGTCTGAGGTGGCAGGCAGGAGCATACACACGGGAAGAGCGTTCTCCCTGTCTTTTACAAACCCTTTCTTTAGCTGTGTCTGCTGACAGTGTAAGATCTCAATAAAGTTTTATGTTCTTTGTAAAGAGTTTTTGTGTGTGCTTTCTTTCTGTGCGTTCAGTTCATTGGATAAAGGACTGAGGGGAGAGGAGGGACTTGGCCGAGTCATGGCAGTGTCAGTGAAGCAGGAACTACAAAAAGAGGCTTCTGTGCTTGTCCAGACGTGTGGGACTGTCAGTGTCACCCTGACATTCATTAAACTGCAGGTGGCTGAGCACCAGATTCTTATCTCAGCCATTTGAGCAGGAACTGGGCAGTAGCTTAGTGGGTAAGGACCTGAGTTTGATTCCCCAGCGTCTGCATACAAATCAGGGCATGGCCACAGGTGCCAGCACCGGGGGTGGGAGGCAGGCCGAGAGGTCCTGGGGACTCCGTGGCCAGCTAGGATAGCCAGCATAGCTTCAGGGTTAGTGATGCGGAGCAACAGAGGAAGAAATCCAACGTCCTATTCTAGCCTTGGCTTGGGCACGTATACTGTGCACGCACACTAAAATATTTAAGCAATTATGGGTAATGATGAAGTACAGGTTTTACAGTTCGTTACATAGTTAGTCCCTGGGAGAGGGGGCAAAAGAATAGGCATTTGTTACATGCCCAGCATTGGCTCAGTACTTGCAGGTGGACAGATCAATCCATACCTGAAGCTTCCTGGAGTATAGGCTTCTTTGTGGCAGGCACCCTGATTTAACTTTTGTGGTGCTAGGGAATCAGTCAGGGCCCTGGAGAACAGGCAAGTGCTGTAGTGCCAGCTAAACCATACCCTAGTTCCCATGCTTTGGATTTCAAGTAAAATTGGGAAATACTAGAAATCTGTATTGGCTAGAGTAGTTCAGTTGTATAGTGCTTGTAAATAAACCTAAGGCTTTGGTTAGATCTCAGACATCACACACACACACACACACACACACACACACACACACACACACACACACACACACACACACACACACACACACACGAGGTAAAAGAACAAAGTGTTCATGTGAAAACTTTTTAGGATTCATTTAAGAGGTGCATGTCCCTAACACTGGACATTGTGACCCTGTAAGCCTGGGTCCAATAAGTTGCATTAAGAACAAGTCCTGGACAAGTGTAATGTTCTAATTTAATATGCCTCTGGCTTAGAATAAAATCCTGAAAATTGTATTATTCTACCCCACTAGCTTCTGGACATTTGAAGACACATGTGCATCTGAGCGCACACCTGCAGGTCAGAGGCTTTGGATGCCCTAGAGCTGAAGTTATAGACAGCGTGAATTGTCTGAAGTTGGCACCCAGAACACAATTCAGGTCCTCTGCAAGACCAGTACACCTTAATTGGTTAGCCATCTCTCCAGCCCCTGAACACTCTATCCTAAGCATCCAGCAGTAATCCTAGTCATTCGCTAAAGTGGGATATGTAACACATTTTACAATTACCAGATTTGAATTCTGTGCATCATGAAAAATACAAAACTGGGATTTTGAATTAATTTAAATAATGTGATCCAGAACCATTAGCTAATCCAGATAAATCTATTCTTTTCAGTTAATTCTGTCTTCCTGTGTGCTGTTGACGATGGAACCCAGTACTCTTTCCCTGACAGTCACTCACTCTTCCACCAAACTATATTAGTTTCTTTGTTAAGAGAAGCTTTTTCCTTGTGAGAAACCGTTCCGCCCGCCTGGTTCTAGACCCGCATCAGTCCCAAATAAACACACAAGACGCTGTATTAATTATGAAGCTGTTGGCCTTGCTTGTTTCTTACTGGCTACCTCTGACTTAAGTAATTACCCCATAATTGTTAATCTAAGTATGTCTCTTACCGGAGAATGGTTCCGGGCTTCCTACCCCCATGGCGTTACATGTCGAACTCTCTTGTGCTTCTCCTTCCCAGAGTCCTCCTGGACTCCTAGTCCCTCCTATCTAGGTTCCCTATAGGCTCAACAGTACTTTATTGACAAATGCACAGGACTTCCCCCAACATTTGTTCAGTGAATAAAACTTTACTTACGGAAATACAATTTGAGAGGGGGGATTTGAGAGTCATACACTAATATATGGCTTTCCCCAAATAATACTGTCATCAGTTGTCTCCTATCGGTGATCTCTTTTTACTGTTGCTTGCTGGCAGTGTCTCACTATACAGTTCATGCTGGCCTTGAACTCACAGTCTTCCTGAGTTCTGGGATTATGGGCAGGCACCACCATGTCCAGCAAAATCTTTCTGGGATTAAGCTATTAATATCATTCACAGTACTGTTTATTGTGTAATTTCACCATATTCACAATACTGCTATAGTATTGTGGTTTTCAGATTTGAGCTGCAGTTAACACTCTTGTCTCTGAGCTGGTAATTGAGTGTAGTAGGGCCTTAGGCGAGCTTCATGATTAGTTCATCGTGCTGCTGTCTATTGGCGTAGATGCCCAAGTTAGCATTCTTACTATGTGAGGTGCTAGTCTGATGTCTTCACTAGCATTAAGGAAGGCCCCCTGCCTCTCTGCTTCCTTTCATGCCCATTGATGGCACAGAACAATTATAGTTGCAGTAAAATTTTAAATCAGTAGCATAAAACAATGCCCTTTCCAGTTATCTGATTCCCCATTATGAACTGATAGGAAGCTAACTTCCAGGAACTGGGTTTAAAGGTTCATTAACATGATTTTTCTCTTAAGCAGCACTTTTAATAATATGGTGCAGTGCTCGAGTTAAGAAACCATTTTTAAGTAGTACACACTTCAAAGCATACCACTTAGAAATGGCTTACAATTTAGGGAAAGTATTTTCATTGTGGTTTTTTTAGATGTATTTACATACTAGTATTTTGCCTGCTTGTATGTATGTGTCCAGGGAGATCAGCGGGCATCTGATCCCTGGAACTGGAGTCCTGGATGGTTGTGAGCCATCATACGAGCTGGCAAGCTTGGTCCTCCCAAGAGCAGTAAGTGCTCTCAGTCACTGCACTCTCCAGGCCCCGTGTGGGTATGCACTCCACTCAGATCAATCGCCAGGCCCCGTGTGGGTATGCACTCCACACTCAGATCGCCAGGTCTGGTGTTATGTGCTTCAACTTACTCCAGCCCTCGTGGAATATTCTTAGCATCTGTATAGTCAGTGAAATAACGGCTTTTTCAAATAAACCAATGCAGTAGGCATGCAATTTTAGTTTTAGAGGTTACTCTCAGTCATATATGAAATATTGACTATTTTTGGCAGTTAATGACTGCTGAATACTCCAATGCTTGTTATGTCATTTCAGGTTTGTAGACATTTGTCAAACATTTGCTTAAAATATTTGATTTTTGCTTTATTTGTTCTATTGGTGCACCTTGTGGATCTAGACAGTATTTATGATACCACATTACACTAGAGATCTTGCTTTTAAAGTTCTGAAAATATTTTTTTGAATATGGGCTTTTTTGTATGCTGCTGAAAGTAATTGTCATTCATATTTTATCTTCACTAAAACTCCCTCTAGCAAGTGTACTTTCATTGGCAAAAGGAAAAATTGAAGCATTTCTTTGGTAATTATTTGCAAGTGTTGGAATTTTTAAAAAAGTCTTCCTAAGACATCCTATCATTATCCTAAAGAGCCAACAAAACTAATGCTCAAAATTTATATTACCCCAAGCTGTTTTGGAACTAGAAAATAATGCACTGAAGAACTCCCCAGTTACCCATTTTGTCTCAACCCATATTCCCCTTCGAAGGACCTGGTGTCATATCTGTCCTTGTCGTGTTCCTCATAAACACACAACAGTGCTTCTGGCAGTACCGTCAGCCATGTGGGGCTGGAACAGAGCGGATTCTTTCTTCACTGTCTGGGTGGAAGGCTTGATGGGTTGCTCACTGTCTTCAGACAGTGCCAATTAGTCTGTAGTGACCAGTAAGGAGGCACATGTTACCTGAGACACACTGCAGAACTCCAGCCCTCAGTCATGAGGGCTCGTGGTGACAGCGTGGGTGCTGCGGACACTCCTGGTCAGCACTGCTGCGATGCTTATACTTGTTGGCCTGATTTAGTTTCTGCTCCACTGGCATGCAAGGCCCTGAGTTCAGTCTCCAGAAGGGTGTGCTTGAAGGGGCAGATACTTATTTTTGCTTTCAGAGTGTGAAAACTGCTCAGAGTTTACTAGTATTGTTATGCATCTGAGAAAATAGACTTGATTCTTTTTCTATATTAGCAATAAAGTTACCAACACTGGAAGAAACCTTCATGAGTGAAGATCTTTATTTCTTTCTGAAATAAATGGCAATAAAAACTGTAAAAACGGAAGTAAATGCTACCATTCAATATCCACTATACCCTTATTGTAAGAACTGTCACAGTTTTTAATGCCTTCATTACATTTACATGTGTGAGTATGTGTGTGAGTATGTGTGGGGGGGGGCACTCATGTGGAGGCCAGAAAACTCCGTGTAGAGTGGGTTCTCCCTGCCCTGTGGGTCCTGGAGATTGAATGTAGTTGTCAGGCATGTGACAGTGACTTTACCCTTGAGCCATCTCTCCAATCTGGTCGTTTGTTTTTCATCTTCACATTCATACAGGGAAGCCCAGTCACTCGATTTAATGAGGCATTTTCTGCATAAGCCCTGAAAGATGCCCAGAAGAGTTTGTTTTTGGATCTAGTCTCCCTGTGCTCAGATACCCAAGTGAAGGCAAAAGCTGTTAACTAACTTGAGTCTCAGAAAGTGCACTAGGCAGCCCTTTCACAGGCTGGTTTCTTCACAGAGAAGATAGGAAGTGCCTGAAGTCCAGCTTTGGGCTCTTCTCAGATGCACTCTGACTAAGCAGCGCTTTTAGTTGAGAGAAGTGTTTCTTTCTTTTGCTCCCGTTCCTTGAGGAGCAAATGGGTGTTGACTGTCCAGATACCGGTGTTCTGAAACGAGAGAACAACTACTGTTAACACATCGCCAAAGACAAAACGTTCTTCTGCGGAAACCACTGCTCCCGGCATCTTCTACTGCCTAGGTCTTGTACCACACTCTGCAGGCACTGGCTGTCCTCGTCGTGGTAATTCTCATTAACAAGAAAACCTCATGGAAGAGCAGATTCTGGCACCATTGAGGAGGTGCCCTGGATGGTTCTAGAAGTGCCTATGATACCTGAAGCAGGTAATGTTATCAAGCTGAATTCTTTTTTTTTTTTTTTTGGTTTTTTTCTTTTCGAGACAGGGTTTCTCTGTGGCTTTGGAGGCTGTCCTGGAACTCGCTTGGTAGTCCAGGCTGGTCTCGAACTCACAGAGATCCGCCTGCCTCTGCCTCCCGAGTGCTGGGATTAAAGGCGTGCGCCACCAACGCCCGGCTTCAAGCTGAATTCTTTATACTTGACTGCAGCATTCATGACAATCCTAAGTGAGAACTTTAAGAACATTGTGTCCTTACAACTGAAGACCACTTCATTCTTCTACAGCGATTCCACCATGTCTCCCCCCTTAGGACAGCAGTGCCACAGGACAGGCACCAGCCTGTTGATCTTTATTCTATGCTTTCAGGTAGTGCTGGGTGCATAGGACACATTCACAAACATCCACAGAATAAGCCGTTCACCATCTAGTATGGGGATCTGAACTCAGGTCTTCATGCTTACAAAGCAAGGACTACCAACTTTATGAACCCTAATGTAACTAAACTGTTGTAAGTACACCAGATTTTCATTTATCTGAATTTGCACAAAAAGTGAAATATCTGTTGAATTCTTACACCAACTGTTGACTAAAATCAACCATATACATAAAACTGGACTTAACATTTTAGCCCAGTATCATAAACTTCAAGTTCAATAGAATTGAAACATTGAACAGAAATAATCCAGTCCTTGCTAGGCTTTGCTTATGCTCAAGACATTGGTCGCATTCAGTTTCTTTTGTAACAAAGTATTCTAAATTCTTCACAGTATGAAACTGCATTTAAATGTAGAACTACCACAGTGACAAAGGACTGAGGAGTCCTCAAATGAAAACTTGGCATCTCTGGCAAATCTATTCAGTTACATTTCAAGAAGAATTTGTAACAAAGGAGAGAGTAACACGTTTGAAACATTGTGTGAGGGCTTCAGTTTGGTGGCACAGCGGACAGGCAGGTGCAGGCTGGGAAGCCACGATCACGGATTGGACCCACGCCAGAGTCGGGGTTAAAGGCTGCACGTTAGCCGGGTTTTCATCAGATCACTGCCCTAGTCCTCACAAAAGGTAACGAGGACAAAAGGTAACCAGGACAGCAGCAGCAGGAAAGAACAGGTAGAAACTGGCAACAGACTATAGTGTAGAAGCTGCTGATCCTCCTGCCATTTTAAGTCAGTTTGCATAGAAGAACATTTTCAGAGCTAAACAGGAGGAAGGGAAAACTTGGTAGTTGGCTTTAGTGGATATATGTCAGGTGCTGGGAGGGGTTCCATAGGAGCCATGTACACTGACTTAAGGAAAAGGAAGACAATGTGCCAAGGCCAGCACCACGGGGTACTCAGGAGTGCATGGTAAGCAGTATTTCATACTTCACAGCAGCTAACAAATAAGGTACCTGATGGTCAAGGAGGGGCTCTTGCCTTTGGAACCCGACACATTATGAGCTGAGTGTGTGGAGCCTGGAGTCTTTCTCTTCGGTGTTTTCAGGTTGGCTTTGTTGGTGGCAGGGGCAGCGTTGTTCTTCAGGGCTGACAGGAAGCTTCTACTCTTGCCATGGTGTTTCACTGTTCTGTTGCATGTTCTACAGGTAACCAGCTACCACAGAAAGAAGTTGGTCCCATGAGTTCTCTGGTAATGTAACTCAACTACAGGTTCCCTCAAGTCCTATGTCAGTATGACAGAGGCTACCCCCTGGGAGCTTGCAGTCTACCAGGAGGAATCAGATAAGACAAAAACACTGGCTAAACGTTTATATTTCAATGCTTTAAAAATCCTACCCAAAAGAACTATAGGCAACTAAGGAATATGGAAAGCAGGAGAGATGGTCTTCTCCAGGGAAGAGCACACCAGTCGACGATCTAATATCTAAATGGCCGGCCCTGAAAACATAGGTACACATAACCTACACAGACTGAGCAGGTTATTATATCTAGGAATATATATATGTACATACACATCTGTGCATGTAATAAACAAGAGGACGTGAATCTGAAAGACAGCAATGAGGGGGAAATGGTGTAATCATATTGTGATATCAAAATTAATTTTTAAAAATATGAGCTGAACTTCCTCAGCTTGAAACTGGTTTGTGTGGGAGCTGGGGAGGTGAAACCAGAGACTAACATTTGGATATACTTTGAAACATCGGTAGAGATTGACCTATTTTCTAGCTGGTATACTTAGTGTTTTTTTTTTTCTCAATAAAACATGGCAAATCCCTGACATTTTAAGTAGTGCCTTCAGATCCATAGTGAGTCTATAAATGTTGGTGTGACTAATAAAACCTTTCAGTTTCCATCATTGCCTCTAGAACTTAGCTCTCTTCATAGGGTTCAGATTTAATATTTATTTTTATATGTATGGATATATATACATACATATCATACGTGTGTGTGTGTGTGTGTGTGTGTGTGTGTGTGTACACCATGTACATGACTGGTCCCCTTGACGAGGCCAGAGGAGGGTTAGGAATGGCTGCTGAGAACCAAACAAGCAGCAAATGCTTTTAGCTGCTGAGCCATCTCTCCAGCCCCAATGGGATGCATTGTTGAGACATGGTCCACTAACCAGAAAGACAGATATAATGTGTACTCACTCATAAGTGGATACCAGGCATAAAGCAAAAGATAGCCAGCCTGTGGTCCACTGCCCCAGAGAAGCTAGAACCCTCTTCCAGAAACAGATGAAGTGGATGCAGAAATCCACAACTAACCAATGGGCCAAGCTCCTGGAGTACAATCAAAGTGAGGGAGGAGCCATAATATGAACAAAGGAATCAGGACCATGATGGGGAAACTCTCAGAGTCAGCTGACCCGAGCTAGTGAGAGATCCCAGACTCAGGTAGACAAACGGGGAACCTGCATAAGACCAAACTAGACTCCCTTAATATAGGTGACAGTGGTGGGACTGGGTCACTGGCAGTGGGTCCAAGAGCTAACCCTAATGCACAAACTGACTTAGTGGAGCCCATTCTGTAGCACAGACACGGGGATGGAGAGCTGCCTTGGTCCTGCCTCTACGAGATGATGGACAGACTTAGTAGACTTCCTAGCGGAGGCCTCACCCTCTCCAAGGAGCAGATGGGAGGTGGTGGGGGGTGGGGAGCGAGAGGAGAGGAGGGAGAACTGGGATTGGAATGTAAAAATAAAAACAAACAGGAGGCTGGAGAGATGGCTCAGAGGTTAAGAGCACTGACTGCTCTTCCAGAGGTCCTGAGTTCAATTCCCAGCAACCATATGGTGGCTCACAACCATCTACAATTCAATCTGGTGCCCTCTTCTGGGGTGTAAACAGAACACTATATATGTAATAAATAAATAAATCTTTAAAAAAACAAACAAACACTCTCCACTTGGTACTTAAATGCCTTTTCTACATAGCTCATTCACAGACCTCAGCCCATGTCTCAGCAGAATGTAAACTAGTTAGGCAAGAGGTATTCAGATTTCAAACACAAACACAGATACAAATGAAGATCAGTGTGGTAGTTTGAATGAGAATGTCCCTATAGGTACACATGCTTGAACACTTGGTATCCAGTTAGTGTAATTGTTTGGGAAGGGTTAGGAGGTAGCTGTGTTACTGGGGGTGCGGGCTTTGAGGTTTGAAAAGACAGTGACTCCCAGTCTCTCTCTGCCTCAAGGTTGTGGATCAAGATGTGAGCCCTCAACTATTCCTTCACTTAGCCACGATGGAGTGTAGCCCTCTGGAACTCTAAGCCTTGTAGGAGTGAACCCCAGAAAGCTATCCACCCATGAGGGCGGAGACATGTAAACTGACACAGGTAGATATAAAAGGAAGTGAAAGAAGAAGGAACCTCCCTTTTCTCCTGGAAGCCAGCCATGCTTCTAACTCCTGGTCAGTGCGTCTCTCTCTCTCTGATAAATAAATATATTGTTTTCCCTTTATAGCCACGATAAAGCCTAATTAAACACTTTCTTTAATAAATTGGTCATGGTGTTTTATCACAGCAATAGAAAAGTAACTATAGCAGTCTACATAAAGGCCTGCTGCCTTAGGTTTTGGGAAAAGGCTACATCCAGATTAAGTCAGCAAAGATCCCCTGCACCTCTCTAGTGACCTCTAACTGAAATACAGTAGAGTAGAAACTTCAAGTAAAACATCATGAGGCTTATCTTCCAATAGGAACGTTTTCCAAGTATGTTGCAGTGGTGTCTTCTAACAATTTCCTGTGGCAGGAGGCTCATAGCTTGAGGGCAGCCTAGGCTACACAGTGGGTTTAAGGTTAGTTTAGGGTACATAGTAGGACCCTGTCTTAGGCCAGACCTAAGCTATGGTAACATCCAGTGCCTACATGTACTTAAGATGATAATGTTCACACAGAATATGCAAGTGTATAGAAAGTGTATCTGATATTGGGGTCCATCTAGAAGCCCTAGGGAATTGTTGTTTTATTCCATTTTATACCTGATACTAAACAGTGGTTGGACAAGTACTACTTGCTGAGTTCATACACAGGAGGAAAATATTGGTGACAGCTAATCCTGTGAGTGATACTGGCAAACACAAGGAATTCTCAGAACTTAATCCTGTGCTCAGCAGTGACATGAGTGCAGGTAAGACTGTCTGCCAATCTTTGGTTTTTAGGCAGTTATCAAAAATAAAAATAGCCGGGCGGTGGTGGCACGCCTTTAATCCCAGCACTGGGGAGGCAGAGGCAGACAGATCTCTGAGTTTGAGACCAGCCTGGTCTACAAGAACTAGTTCCAGGACAGCCTCCAAAGCCACAGAGAAACCCTGCCTCAAAAAACCCAAACAAACAAGCAAAAACACAATAAAAATAGACAAGCCGGTGTGGTGGCCTGCGCCTTTAGCTCCAGCACTGAGGAGGCAGAGGCCAGTCTGATCTACAAAGCAAGTTCTACAACATCCACGGCTACAGAGAAACCCTGTCACTCAATAAATAGGTAAACGTGAACCACCTTGTTGAATTACTATCACAGAAGCAGTACGGGTGTACTCTAGACAGTTCAAATGTCCTACTGGAGCACTCTGCTGGGGCTGGCTTCCAGCCTAAGGGAAAGAAGAAAAACGACGGCACGCTTTACGTCCTAGGGCTGCGAGCTTACCAGCACACTGGCGGAGTCTTTGTACTTTCTCAACAGCTTTGCTTCTTTAAAACTGAGAGTATGATTTCTTGCTTCTCGATTAAGGAGTTTTTGTATCTTGGGTGTCAGTTTGGCCTTGGGTTTGAGGCGCACTCTAGAGTTATCCAGAACCAACAACTGGAAGCAGTATGGACATGTTTCTTGAAAAGTGCCGTTTTCCTCTACAATTACATAAATCAAATTCACAAGTCAGCAAGTTTTGTTACCTCAAACAACTGGCATCATAAGTGGGAAAAAGAAAAATACACTGATGGTATCAGCAGACACAGTCTATTGAAGCAAATTCTAGATATGAAAAATTTATAAAAGCAAACTGGCAATAATATACTTTATAAAACTCCCTAATTCCCTCCTTCAGCAACAGACAGGCCTCTGGCCTTTCCTACTCTGTTCATCTGTTGTTTAGCTACCAATACATTTACCACATTTAAGCTGACGGGTTTCTCTCCCTCCTCTCTCCCTCCCTTCCCCCTCTCCCTTCCTCCCCCCTCCCCTCCTGCAGTTAGTCCAGCCAGTACTTTTTGGGTGTTGTGAACCAGACAACATGCAACATCATAGTTGGGGGGGGGGAGAGGGGCGACACGACTAAGGAAGAGGATCAGAGGTCGGTGTCGGTCACTGTAATTAAAGAAGGGTGACTAGGGAAGACTTCACCAGATGACATTTGCCCAGAGAGATGATAGCGGGCAGTAAGTAGAGTTCCAGGCATGATACGGCATTTAAGGCATCTGGAGAAGGTCTGGAACCATCCAAGTACACTGAGGTTCAGGACAAGCAGATGATGCCTGGGAGATGGCGGAAACGACCATGTGGTCGTGGTGGCTCTGTGGGTCAAGGCACAGATCAGTCCCCAGAAACCCATCTAGCAGGACAGAATCTTCCCCAAAGCTGCTCTGACTTCTAAACGTTCACTCTCTTAGACACACACACACACACACACACACACACAGATGTGTGGGCTAGAGAGATGGATCAGCAGTTAAGAAAGGCGGCTGCTCTTACACAAGACCCAGGTTCGACTCCCAGCACCCACTTTGGAGAGCTCACACTTATTGTAACTCCAGTTCCAGGGGATTCATCACCCTCTTCTGGTCACCAGGCTCTCAAGCGGTACACACATGTAGGCAACATTTATACTTAATAGAATAAAATGTTAAAATAAGAGCTCATCAAGGGACTGGGGAGACGGCTCAGGGGTTAGGAGTATTTGCTGCTCTAGAGGAAGACTCGGGTTTAATTCCCAGCACCCACACGGGGGCTCACAACCGGTTGTAACTTGAGTTCCAGAAGGATCCGACACCCTCTTCTAGCTTCTGCACTAGGCAAAGCACAGAAGCACATTTTAAAGTAAAGACTGATGAATGTGTCAAATGCTAAGGATTAAGGCTAAAGAACTGGGCTTTTCGTGCAGCTGGGAAGCCTAGGGCATCTTTTCTGTTTCGAATGAGACAAGTCGGGCAGCCTTTTCGTTTGGGTCACTGGAGCACTGGGATGGCGCAGAGCCGGGCGACAAGGGCCGAAGTCACCGCAGCCGGCGTTCTCCTACCGTGGGACGAGCTGTAGGTCCAGCTGCAAAAGAGAGCGGGGCGTGAGGCCGGGGACCGAGGCCGCCCTCCCGCACCCCGCCCGCCCGCCCGCCCTCTGTCCCTCTCCTACAGGAGGTAGCGGGCCTGGCCAGGGCAGCTTTCCACCAGGCCGCGAGCCGCCGCTTCAAGGTAGTACTTCTGCCGCATAGCCAGCACTTCCAGCCGCCGAAACGACGCCAAAGAGCTTCGTGCCGGAAGTCGGCTTTCTCAGTGTAACCATCGGGGGCGTCCGCTTTCAAACTCCCTCCGGAAACGCGCGTTCGCGACTCAGAAGTTCCGGACTCTGTCGCGTCTGGAGTCCCTGCCATCTGTCTGGTCACCTTAACATCCACAGCGAAGTTCCTGTATCCGGGATGGGAGCAGGTTCCCGAGCCCAAGGCTCCAACGATCTCACCGACTTCATCCTTGTCTCGCTGCTTCTAACCAGACTTTCTGGGTAACAAGGTTAATCAGTTAACTATCATCCAGGTGTTTTCCTCTCCCAGTTTGCTTGCTTCTTTTTAAAGATGTATTTATCCTGTGTATGAGTGCATGTCTGAATGTATGTTGGTGCATCACTTGCGTGCAGTATCTGGGGAAGTCAGAAGAAGGTATCGATCCCTTGGAACTGGGGTTGCAGATATTTGAGAGCGGCCATGTGGGTGCTGGGAAAGAAACCGGGGTCCCCTGTAAGAACAATCAGTGCTCTTAAATGCTAAGCCACCAGGTGCCCTAAATGGCTGAGCCATCTCTCCAGTCCTAGTTTATTCCACGCACATTTTTTAAAATGAATGCACCTTACTTACATTTATTTATTTTTGAGGCAGTCTTTCTACATAGCTCTGGTTGTCCTGGAACTCACTATGTAGACCAAGCTGGCATCCAAGTCACAGAGATTTGTTTGCCTCCTGCTGGGATTAAAGGCGTGCACCACCACACCAGGCTGGCACACACATTCTTTAGCTGATAAGTATGATTTTTTTCCCCCCGAGATTGGGTTTCTCTGTATAACAACCCTAGCTATGTTAGCAAGTTATGTTAAGGCCTTTTCCCATGGATCCTGGCCTTTCCCATTTGAAATAGAATGGAAAACAATTTGTAGTGATCATGACTACAAGATACTTTTAACACACGAGCATGTAATGTTCACTCATTAATCCTCACAACAAACCCAGAGCATAAATGCAATGCCACTCCATCTTAAATGGTTTTCCTTTCTTGAGGTAGAAACACACACACACACACACACACACACACACACACACACCATGTATGTAGTCCAGGGCAGCCTCAAACTCACTCTTCATCTTACCCTGCCTGTTGCAGCAGCCTACTGAGTGTTGGGATGACAAGTGTGTGCCACCACACCACCTGTTTCATCAACCCAGAGAGCAGGAAAGAAGAAATCCACACTTCCTCTACCTCCTGCCATACAGCCCTTCACCTGCCCGCCCGTTCCCTCTCTGAGCACCGAACTCCTGCCTTCAGATGCCCACTCAGCATCCCTGCTTGACTTGTTACCTGTCTTCTCAGTGGCAAAGCTGTCGAGATAACTCCTGATTGTCCACACAGACGCACCCAGGTGCCCCGGATACTAACCCCCTCGGGCCCTGAGCCCGCCTCCTGACTCCTCTTTCCACCACTTGATCACAACCATCTGTAATTCCAGGTCCAGGGGAGCCGATGAACTCCTCGGGCACCAGGCATGCATGTAGCGCAAAGGCAAACTTGTAAACAAAACACCCCTACACATAAAAGATAAAACTTTAAAATAAGCCGGGCGGTGGTGGCTCACGCCTTTAATCCCAGCACTCGGGAGGCAGAGGCAGGCGGATCTCTGTGAGTTCGAGGCCAGCCTGGTCTACAGAGCGAGTCCAAAACAATACAGAGAAACCCTGTCTCGAAAAACCCAAAACAAGCAAACAAACAAAGCATAAAAACAGACTAGCTGGTGTGGTGGCCTGAGCCTTTAACTCTAGCACTCAGGAAGCAGAGGCCAGTGGAGAAATGACTCTAAAACGTAGAATGAGTTGCATTTTCTTAATGTGGCATATAAACAAAACACAGTACAATAAAATAAGCTGTTTAAAAGTAGTGCGCTTTACAAAGCCTATTCTGGAGGGAAGACCCCAAGCTGAGAGACATAGGGAAGCAAACCTCTCTGCGTTTCTCCGCTCGCTTGCAGTTCCCGACCGTCACCAGCAGAGGGAAAGGTAATTTTGTTTGGCGTGGATCCCTGAGCAGCGCAAATTCTCCCACTAAAGAGAAGCCACCGAGAGCGCCAGGGAGACCCCGGTCTGTGGGCGGTTAAGCTGGCCTGGAGGAGTCGCCCGGGCCTCACAGGCTGCGCCAGGTCGATGCACAGACTCCCGGTAGCTCCCCCCAAACGAGCGGAGAGGGATAACTTGGTCGGGGCGCCCTACTGACCGCCCAGCCCTGGACTTGTTCGCGGCCGGCTCGCAAAGCATTCACTCGAGCCGGCGGACCCGGGAGTGCAACCCGGGGAGCTCAAGCCCGGGTTCTAGTGCGCTCCCGGGGAACCGAGCCCGGGTCCTAGTGCAGTCCCGGGGAACCGAGACCATGTTCTGGTGCAGTCCTGGGAGCCCGAGTTCCCGCCGAGTGCGAACCAGGTAAGCATCCTCTGGGGTGCCAGCGCGATCCCGGCGAGAATCCTCCATGGTTCGAGCGCGATCCCCGCGAGCCCGCGCCTGTTCCGCCGCGCATCCCCGGATCCCAGTCTGTCTGCCCCAAGTCGTGACTAGGGCCGCGGGGTCCCGGCTGCAGGCCTGGGCACGGGTCACGGACACGACCTTCTTTCCACCGAAGGGCTGCGGTATAAACGGGAAAAACCAGTCACGCCAGCAAACCGCTCAGCGGGGGTCAGCGGGGGGAGGCTGCTCATTAGATCGGACGTGAAGCAATCACGTCGAGGACCTCGGGCGAACTGCGGTGAGCGGGGCAGAGCCTGGGTCAGGGAGCCGCTCCGGGGACGTTTCCAGCACAGTGGATGGGAGCAGAAACGGGCGGAGAGATGGCGCACGGGAAGGGAGGTTAGACCGGGAAACGGCCCGGGAGCAGCCGGCTCGACCCGAAGCTCCGCGGCCCGGGAGAGCGCGAGTCCGCGCACGTCCACCTGTTACCCCGACGCCGTCAGCCGGGCGCCCGGCCTGGGGAGGAAGCCCCGCGCGCAGGCAACAGGTTTGCTCGGGGCGGGATCGCAGGGCAAGACGCGAAGCCCCACGGGGTGTGGAGGCCGGCTGCCAGGTGCGGGTTTTCTGTGCCCCGAGGTATTTCAAAACAAAACAGAAACCATTAGTGTTAAAAAATTAGGCTTCAGGTCCCCAAGATCTTGCCAAACAGCGCAATGAATAATTTGTTTACGCGAAGTCTCAGTAATACTGTGTGCGGCAGCCGTACCTCTCTAATTATATTCAAATATATTCAGAAAGGGTCCATTTGTTTTTAGATAGCTAACTGCTCTTTGAAAATAGATGGGGGCAATACAGTATTTCAATAACTTGAAATATATGCAAAGGTGTTTTTTTTTTTTTTTCACGAGAAAACAAGTGAAACTAGAGTTCAGCTGCCACAAAAGGAATCGGCTGGGCAGCCACCCTTCCCCCAGGGCCGCTGTTGGAGGGCAGGGGGCATGGCAGACGCCCTCCGTGTGCTCCGCGCTCGCTCGTCTGCCATCCCCAGCTTGTTTCCCTGGCTTGACTTGGCAGTTGCGGGGTCCCCAGGGCACACCTGTTCCTGCTTCCCGTGTTTGCCTGTTGTGTGAATTCGTAGGCGAAGTCAAGTTACTCAGATGGTGGCGGTAGAGCTCGGGGATGGGAGGGGGTTGTTGACAGTGAGAAGTCGTGGGAGGCGGGTGTGGGTTTGATTACCCGGGTTGAACTCACCGTGCTGTTTCCCCCTTAGTGCCCTGCAGGAGCCGGCTCCCAGGCTCCTTCCCTCCGCTAGGCTTGAAGCTGTAAGGGAGTCGCCTTTAGGAAAGAATAGGCCCTGCCTTGCATCTTCTCCTACGGCCCCAGAGTTCCCCAAACCTTAGCACCAAACCACTGGCTTGGAATGTGCTTCCCTGTGATGGAAATTCACAATTACTCAGGATTAGAGCTAATAAGTGTTGTACATATCACTCATGTGGCCCAGGCTAGCCTTGAACTTGCTAAGTAGCTGAGGATGACCTTGTACTTGTGAGTGTGTGTGTGTGTGTGTGTGTGTGTGTGTGTGTGTGTGATGCCTGTGTGTACACCTGCACATCTGCAGGCCAGAGGCTGAGTCAGAACATCTCCCTCAACCACCTCATTTTATTGTAAAGATTATTTTTTATGTGTAGGGGTAGGTTTTGTTTTTGTTTTTTCGAGACAGGGTTTCTCTGTGTAGTTTTGGAGCCTATCCTAGCACTTGCTCTGTAGACCAGGCTGGCCTCGAACTCACAGAGATCTGCCTGCCTCTGCCTCCCGAGTGCTGGGATTAAAGGCGTGCGCCACCACTGCCGGGCTGTGTGGGGTGTTTTGCCTACATGTTTGTCTGCGCTACATGCATGCCTGGTGCCCAAGAGAGGACATTGGGTCCCCTGGACCTGGCGTTGCAGACGGTTGCGAGCTGCTGTGTGGTGCTGGAGGGTCAAAGCCGGGTCCTCTGGAAGACCAGCTGGGGCTCCTAACCACTGAGCCACCTTGACCAGGCTGGTCGGCAAGTGTCCCCATGGCACAAGCCAACGTTTCTGGTGCGTGTCACGGCACTCAGCTTTTTGAGGGTGCTGGGGGAACACAAACTCAAATCCCCACGTTTGCAAGGCCGTTGCTCTTGGGTCCTCTCCAACTCATCTTGTTTTGCAAACAGGGTCTCTTGTAGATCAGGCTAGGCCTCAAGTTCTGTATGTTGCTGAGGAGGGTGGCTGACGATCCTGACCCTCCGGCCTCTACCTGGACTACAGATGTGTGTCCCGTCCAGTTTTACGTGG